GAGCCTTGCCGCGAAATTAAGAATTTGTCTGATTCTTACAGGCAGGCACTCTAAAGACACCTTTGAAACAGCAAAATATTATCTCAAGCTTCATAGCAAGCGGTCGTAAGTCAATTGCATGCACGAGGTAGTAAAGGAAGGAAATGAAACGGAAAACAAGACGGTGTACAAAAGCTTACAAACCTACGACGATACAAACGACAACAATGAAGGCAAGAAAGATTTCCGCTGGCAATCCTGACCTAACAACAATTTCATGTATTGAGATGTTTATTCCAGTCGTCTGTCCTTTATGATCATTTTGTAGGCCAAATAGCAGCGAAGTTTTGTCGTAATCTGTATTCCTCGATGTTTACATTCGGCTGCGCCAAATAAGACACCACCTCTGACGTCGATCTTTCCTCGACCCTCTTGTTTGCACGCGAATAATTGAAGAAAAACTGACCCACCACCCGCAATGCTAGGCAATTTTTCTGATCAACCAAGGAGGAACCTTTAGGTAAGATCGACATTTTGAAGTCCTGTCGTCTTACCTTTGGATCTGTAACGCGTCACGCCTTTCGAAAACGAGAAATGGATGTAAACAAGGGGTTTACAGAAGTCCCAAAATTAAATTTAGGGTAAAAGTTCGCTCACCATCGAACTGAGGATACACTTTGTTTTTCCATGCAGCGTGACGTTAAAAATAGAATTTTCGCGGGAAAATGTAGCCTAGACAATGGTAAGGAGTTGGCGAGTTTGAAATGTTTACTGACGTTAATAACGATGTCACAGCTTAAAAATTCTCTTCTGCCGTCCAGCTAACTATTTTTTGCAGATCTTTCAGTAAATCATGAATAACAGTCGCAGAAAGTCGGAATGAGGTCATATTCGCTAAAAATTTGACGGGAATATTTCTGACTAATGATTTTTTATTTGGACTTTAAGAGACCAATTACTCCGATTTGTCTGTAGATACAAATTTTGACTATAAAACAGGGTATTGATAGCAGTGTAAGAGACTATCACAAAAATTGTTTTTTGGTGGAAATAAATTGCCGCACTTTTGAAAAATGACTCGCTGAAAATGGCTAAAATTTGGGTCGCGCTAATTAACAATTCGGCGGCGATATTTGGCACCTCGTGAAAACTCTCGAATTAAAGCGAAAGACCCCAAATATATCTCAGTCAACTAATAAAGGGACAAATATTATCGCATGAAAATAAGAGTTTCTGGAATTTGTACGAACTATCTTTTAGGCTCACATAAAGTTGCCCGAGATTTCGGCCATTTTCGACCGCTTGAGAGACCAAAATCATGATGTGGTGATATCTCGAAGGAACCCGAACGCCTACCTCGGCAAATGTCATGATTGTTAATCTTTTCGGATAGCTTTTATACTGTGAAAAGATGAAGGTAAACTGCCGACCTCGATCTTTTGGCACTGCCCGGTTTTCTTTGACAATGACACTTAAATGATTTCGAGTGCAATTTGGAACAACTAAGCAGAAATAAATTTTTAAAGACTACAAAAAATTGCACGAACCTTTGAAAAATTTACGAGTGCTTATTTATTCCAAATTTCAGGAGAAAAATCATTTGATTAGCTTAGCTTATTCCCTTTCACTTCCTGTGGAGCATAGGTCCATGGAAACTGCCCGCTATGTCCTTCTGTTTTGACCAACTTTTCAATCTCTTTCCAAGAGTAGCTTGCCTTTGACGCCTCATTGTCCACGGTTCTCCTCCAGCTGTTTCTAGGACGACCTTGATTTCTCTTTTCCTGGGGGTTCCACTTCAGTGCATGCCTGGTAATATTGCTGATCAGTTTTCTTACGGTGTACCCAATCCAACCCCACTTGCGCCTTTTAATCTGGGTGTTGATTCGTTCCTGTTCAGTTCTTTCTCACAAATCTTCATTTCTTATAGCCTGAGGCCAGTGTATGCCTATGATGGACTGTAGGCATTCGTTGACAAAGGATTTTGTTACTCTCCATATCTCTGACCCATACAAGAGGACGGATTTCACGTTGGTGTTTAATGTCCGTAGCTTCGTCTTTTTAGATATCGTTTTAGATTTCCACACGGGACTCAGCATTATGAAAGCAGTTCTCGCTTTCCCGATCCTCAGTTGAATGTCGCGGTCAGACCCGCCATCCTTGCTGATGTTGCTGCCAAGGTAGGCAAATTCTTCCACTTCATCAATTTCTTCCTCATCCAGTTCTAGCCTGTCTGCATTTGTGGTGTTAATCCTCATCCCCTTTGTCTTCGATTTGCTGATCCTAAGACTCGCCTTCGCTGAGATCATTCCCATCCGTGTTAGCTTGGATTGCATGTCCTGATGATTGTGTGAGAGCAAAGCGACATCGTCAGCAAAGTCTAAATCTTCTAGCCGAGTCATGAGGGCCCACCGTATGCCATCGCGATGTTTCTCTGTTGTCTGTCTCATTACCCAATCAATGACCAGCAAGAACAGAAAGGGCGACAGCAAACATCCCTGGCGTACTACGGTGAGCATCTCAATCAGTTCTGAAAGGACTCCATTGTGGATGACTCTGGAGCTGTAGCTGTCGTAGGTCTTCTGTATAAGGGTGACGTACTTCTCAGGGATGCCGTAGTGACGTAATAGTTTCCACAAAACGTCCCTGTCGACACTGTCGAATGCCTTATCGAAGTCGACGAAGGTCGTGTAAACGGGAGAGTTCCACTCGAGCGACTGCTCCAAGATGATCCTCAAGGTGGCAATGTGATCAGTACATGACCTTTCCTTCCGAAACCCAGCCTCCTCATCCCGCAGTCGTTTGTCCACTATTACTTTCAGTCTCTCCAGGATTATCCTGTTCAGCACTTTTCCGGCGGTTGATAACAGCGTGATGCCTCCCCAGTTCTAGTCTCCCTTTTTTGGTAGTTTGATCAGGTAGCCCTCTTTCCAGTCGTCCGGTAGTTCGTTCGTTTCCCAGATCTTCCCAAACAGCTCCTAGAGCATCTCTGTCGAGGTCCTTTAATCTGCCTTGATGGCTTCTGGTGGTATGTTATCGGGTCCTGCTGCCTTGCCATTTTTCAAATACTGTCAAATGCTGGATGGCTCTCCTGATCTCTGCTTTACCTGGCCTGTTTCCATTGACCTGTAAAGGTTCGTCGGCTGGTTCTCTATCAGGCATCTCGCTAGGCGGAGGTCTATTGAGCAGCGTCCTAAAGTGTTCTGCTCACCTTCCTCTCTGCTCTTCTTGATCGGTGAGCATCTCTCCACTTTCGGCTCGAACAGGTCTGCCTGTGCTCTTTCTAACACCTGCCAGTGTTCTTGTGATGGAATCAAGATCTTTAAAATCCCCTTTCCCTGCTGCTTCCTCTGCCTGTCTTGCAAGGTCATCCACGAAGTTCCTTCGGTCTTTTCTGATGTTTTGCTTAACTTCTCTATTGACTTTAGAGTATCTGGTCCGGGCTTCCGCTTTCTTGGCTCTTGTTCTGCTACGGTTTAACACATCCTTCTCCTTCTTTCTAGCTTCTATCTTCTTCAGAGTATCTGCGCTGACATAGGCCTTATGCTTATGACATAGGCCTTAGACTTCCTTCCCAACGTTTCCTCGCCCGTCTCCCTCCAAGCATTTTTTATTCTGTGCTACACTTGGTTGACTACTGCATTGCTCGCTTTCTGGGAGACTTGCGAGTGCTTGATACTTATTGGACAAGGTAAGCTTGAACCAGTTCTTTGTTTTCTCATCCTTCAGCATCTCGATGTTGTATTTGTGGCTTGTCTTTTGTGAGGTAGTATGATAGTTTTTGAGCTTCAGTCGACATATGCCCACAAGAAGGTGGTGGTCAGAAGCCACATCTGCCCCTGTCTTTACTCTGACATTCAACAAAGACCTTCTGAACTTTGATGGTGTACAGATGTGGTCAATCGGGTTCTCGGTCTTGTTGTCGGGAGAAACCCGCGTTGTCTTGTGTACCTTCTTGTGGGGGAAAACCCTACCTCCAATGACTAGCTTGTTAAAGGAACAGAAGTCAGCAAACAGCTCTCCATACTCATTCATTTCTCCGATACCATGTGTTCCTATAACTGTCTCAAAACTTGTGTTATCACTCCCCACCTTGGGGTTAAGATCTCCAAGCAACAGTAGCAGATCTTTCTTGGTTGCCTCATCTATGACAACCTGTAACCTCTCATAGAAGGCATCTTTTGCATCGTCGTCAGCTTCGTTTGTAGGTGCGTAGCACTGGATGAAGGTGGCTTTTCCGATCTTGTGTGGAATCTGGCCGTGATGATTCTGAACGATACAGGATTCCAGCCTATGAGTGACTTGGCCGCTTGTGGGATCAGCATAAAACCTTCTCCCTCTGTGTGTGGAGCGTTGGCATGGTCATGGCCTGAGTAAAGGACGGTCTGTCCAGTTGACAGCCTTATGCACCCAGACTCGATCCATCTGGTCTCACAGATGCCTATTATTACTTGTTAATAATATAAAAGTGACAATTTCTGTCACCTTCAATATTTTACGTGACAAATGGAGGCATCAAGCTACTTAAAAATTTGACAATTTCTTGTGTTTAAGTGCAACTAAAGAACACCCTTACAATAAATAACTACTTAGAGTACATTTATCTTATTACTTACAGTAAGTTAACAGTATCCGACGACACATTTTTCATTTTTTCGTTTAGCGGTTTCTTGTCTCTTTTTTGTAAGAGTTTCCAAATTCTGGGTATTTTTAAACGGTTTTTTGTGTTCTGGTTATAAATTTCTGTCGCTTTGCATCAAAGAGGACGCGCGATGTAATCGTGACGTGGGATAGTGTATACATTGGTGACGGTCGTGATTATATAATCTAAAATGAATCTCTTTACTGGAGATTTGTAGGTGAATATTCAACGACCCGGGAAAACTAACGGCGTGTCTCATCTTGAACTGAACCTTATACTACACGCCGGGGCGAGCCTAACCAGCTGCAATAAAAATTCTATAGGTATTAAGTGTTGAAATTCTAAGAAGCGAAATGATGCTTTATTTGTCTCTTGAATAAAGGAGGAAGATGATGATGATGATGACAGCAACTATTCGTTGCGCAGACTGGCTAAGGCAATGCGGAGGATAAGGGACAAGGGTAAGGACAACATCGTTAATTATTATAGTTTAAAAGTATAAAACCTGGTCTACACTAGCGACATAACGACATAACAAGAAAACGTCTTAAATCGGTAATGTGAACATCGACATAACGACATAGGGCTAGGTGAAAAATGGAGCAGGAGACACGTCTTTTTGAAAATTCCCTCATACTTTTGTCATACAATATAAGACAGCAGCAAACCGCTTCGGCAGGTGTTTGTTCATCTATCCGAGCCGTCAATATTTTGTACTCGGCAACAGTCAATTCTTGCTCAGTCGAAGCCATTTTGAAAATAGTGCTGGTGGTGAACTGGGTTCTACAATTTTTGCGCCGCTCTGACTGGTTCTTTGTTATGTTGTTATGTCGATGATGTTCACACTTGTTTCAACAGAAACATAGCGACATAAGGAAAAAAATCAGCTTTTTCCTTATGTCGTTATGTCAGGATGTTCACACTGCCAACATAACGATATAAACCCCTTCTTATGTCGTTATGTCGTAATGTCGCTAGTGTGAACCAGGCCTAACAAAAACCCTCCAAAGAATAATCAAATCCAAAGAGTAATCAGACTTTTGCATAATTAGAACTTTTAAAATATCGGATTCCTTGACGCGTATTAAACGACTATTTGCATGTAATACTGTTAACTAGGAGGGACTATCTGTAGCATATGATCTGTAAAGACAAATCACATAGAACGCTAGGTTGGAGAAGGTGCGAGGAACTGCTATGAGTGTGTTTTCTTTACTTGTGTCTCTCATAAAGGTTCCCGTTTTCTCTTTTTCTGATTGTTTCATATTGGAGGAATGCACCCTCTCTTCTATCGACGTTAGCGAAAAAGTCTCTGAACTGCGAAAAGAACGAAAGCTGACCAAAATTCGAATCTCACAGGGGTCAGTCCCGACGATTTACGTCCTCAGATATATGTCGCAGCATAAATTAAAATCTCTCTAATGAATTTGATTTCTATCTGGCATTAGCACATTCCGAAAGAAAGCAAAATGAAAACCAAACTGGTTTAAAAAGAAAATGTACAGCCGAAGGGTACATGTATCTACTCTTTGAGTAACTGGGGTCGAAGGGCAGGGATGTATTTTTTGTTTTTTTCTTTCGTTTGCATTGCTGAACTGTAGGTCTGAAACGAAACGAGAATTCAATTCGAGTATTTAATTCATCCCTTCCCATAACAGGGTTTCAGGAAAAAAAACTAATGTAAAGAGGATGTAGAACATTACGAATATGTCAGAGGGGGTCAGCAGGGTATTTAAATCTATGGCCGTGGAGTTGAACTCGGGTCTGCCATGAAAACAACACTTGATTGTGAAAACAACGTCGGTTTCATTGTTTCAAATAACAATTGTATAGTAAGCAGTTTTAGGTCCTTGGCAACGGACTCTACGACTTGGTGAGTACAGTTATATCCCAAAATACTGTCTTCCAGATCAACAATTTCAGGTGAATGGTTTGTCCTTGTTCGACTTGGTGGCTCAACTGAGAGATCTGTCCGGGAGTTCCTTTTACTCGTACAAGGGATCTCTGACCACCCCTCCCTGTTACCAGTCAGTCAGTTGGATTGTGCTTGAGGAGGCAATTTCTGCTCGTAAAAAAGAGGTGAACGATGTTTTATTTTAAAACAGTACTTCAAATATGAGTGCTAACATACAATAGGAAACGTTTTTGCCTGGTCTTAATGACATGCGCCTGTAAAAAGTGAACGTAGGCTGAATAAATCGATATTCCCAAATGGTTTAGAAAAGACTGGCCCTTTTG